ATTCTAATTATTTCGCTCTGAATTGAATTTCAATTGAACCTACCACAATGTTCTAAAAATTCCAACTAACACATATACTAAGTTGATTTTGTGATCGGATGTTGATAATGCCTTCAATTCACAGAACAAATCAGAAACATAAGCAAATATTCCTACCGCGGACAGATATAAACACAAATAATGCAATGCACATGTAATTAACTCAGGATTTCATCTTAATTACTTATTAGGCATAATTAATCATCGTTAATCAACTAATCACAGGTCGGGGTTGTTACAGGGCTTGCAAGCCTCCCGATGATGAAATGGTAATTACGTAATCTTTACAATGTTTAAGGTTGTTTGGAGTTGCAGTTTAACCCGTTTTGACCAAAATTAACTTTTTGCAAAATTGATCATTTTACCTCTAGACTCGTTTTTAACCGAAAACAAACTTTCTAACCCCGAGAAAGAGAGGGAAGCTCGATTGTGCTTTGATCAAAGACATTTTCCAAAATTAGTAGCATGTTTTATTAAAAATATTGATCGGAAAACAATTCGAACTTACTTGGATCACAAGCAAGCCAAAGGTATGGGAAAACAGTTTGAACTTACTCGAACTTGCATGGATGACAAATGTAGCAAAGTAAGAGGTGTACGCTAATCTTCTTTGTGCGTGTACACATTAGCTGTGCATACACACAAGCTTTTTGCGTGTGCACTTCCAAGTGTGGCAGAGCCTATTTTAGAAACTCAATCTTGATGCATTTCTGGAAGTAGGCAGCAAGAGGAAGAGATGGGAAGCCCTAGTGTGCTCCATAAGCTTTCCCTTTGCCTATATAATGAGCTCCTCCCCCCTTCATTTCAAGGTGTTAGAAACTTGAGAGCTTTTTGTGAGTTTGAGAGCAAAAACACCCGCCTTCTCCTCCTCTATTGCCTTGACTCAGAAATTTACCCATCCACAAGAACTGAAAACACTGAAAAACATTCTAAGGACTGAAAAACTTGGACCCTAACTCAAAACCTTTGCTTGAAGGAGGCTTGTAAACAAGAAACTTGAGTTTCTTTGTATATTTTCTTCGCGTGGCTTCGGTTTATTCAAACCAGCAGGTAAAGCTTCTCTATTTATCATATTTCAGTACCTTTTTGCTCTATATTTCAATGTTCAAGCATGCTAGGATATTAACCCATCATATCATCATGTAGGTTCTTAATTTTGTTAGTTTTCTTTCCTATCTTTGCATGTATTCTTTTTCTTTATTAGAACATGTTTAGGGCTATTTAAACATGTAGAAATCATGCTTTAAGCCCAGTTTGATTATCATGCAGTTTTGGAATATTATTACTTTTTTACTTGTTAGTTGCTTTTCTTGCATAATCATCATGCTAGTAGCCTAAAAAATGAGCTTAGGATCATATTCTGCATGTGTAATTGTATATTAGGGTCATACTTAATTTATGAATTGCATGTAACACATTGAAAGTGGACATTTGGGTAAGTTTCATTTAATCTCATATCGTATGTGTGCATTTGGTTGTATTGTCTTTTTCAATAATCTAAGTTAAAATTGATTGTTTTAGAAGTTTTTAATAAATATCGTTCATTTTAGTTCATGTTTATGGCCATGGAATATTTAAAAATATCTTTTATGGAGAAATCATCAGTTTATGAAAAAAATGTCTTTATTCATTGAATCTAAAAGGAATAATATTTATTGTTTATTCAAATAACTTAGTTTTAGGTTAGTTAAAGGGCTTTAGGTTTAAAATGGTTTGTTTGAATAATTAACCACTAAAGTCATAAAATAAAGAATTAGTATAGGCCAATCTTTGGGTGTTTTTATTCAATGACCTTCCCCTTTTGTACACTAGTTCCCGAACCTGACATTTCCGGTTATGGCAGATCAGGTCTCTAACTTAGTTTTCATCGTTAAAGGTTTTTTAATGCTCCATTAAAAATTAAGTGACAACTCTATGTTGGTTAAACGAAGTTGGCACAACATTTGGGTAGAAACAGGTCTAATAACAAAAAAGGCTCAGCGTTCATAGTTGGCGACTCTACTAGGGACTTAAGTTAGCTTGATTCGTAAATTTCTATTTTATGAGGTTAGTGTGTTAATTATAAAAATTACATTGCATCATTGTGAGCTTGGAAAAACAATTTCATTGCTTAATATCCCGAATGGCGTTGCCACTTGCGAGCTATGTTAATGTGAACAAGCAAGTGTCAGAATTTGCTATTAGTACAATTTGATCATCCCTTTTATCATGATTTGAACCCATCCCTAAAAGCTTGGGTCATAACTGGCCAGTAATCACTTGATTACTTTCGGCCTCAAACAAACATACAAAGTAATTATAGTAATGGGGCCATAAGCGGAAGTATACAACAAATGAAGAAGTCCATTGAGTTGTGACAATATGAGCAAAATATAGCACAATCACATCATTTACATGCCCATGCAAAAATATAAGTATCAATGGAAATTTTATGCATGTCGATTACATATCCCAAGACCAAAATAGAAAAAACCAAAATAAAGTCATAGCATAAAGGGAGTCAAAGACAAAACTCCATTTTAAAGGCACAACTCGACAGGTTCACAAAAATAGCTCCTAAAGATGACTCTAAGGGTAGGCTCTATGCTGCGGATCACCTACATATGCATACATAATATTGGGTGAGCGAAGCTCAATGAGTAATAATACAGTAAATCAGTGTAAATAGATGATCATAACGTTCTTACAATATCCATAATCATATAAAAAGAATGACCATAGGCCCATCATATAAACAGAACGGCCTTAGACCCATTAATATCGAAACGACCTCAGGCCTACATAAGTACAGAGCGGCCTCGGGCCCAACATGTAATAGCTTAAACTGAAACATAACGACCTTAGGTCCACATTGCACATGTCATATAATATTAATGAAGTTCCTTCATTTCGATCAAATCACAATGTCGACACCATTCACCATTCATGGTTCAAGATACACAATTAAGAACATATATGTACAATATCATTACTTGCAGTGTGTTTGATCTTGCGATGTCTCCTTTACTACACGACCTACACAAACATTTCACACACACATTTGATAAATCATTTGTTTCAATTCGTTATCTTTCATAATTCACAACCTTCTTTAATGAGTTTCTAATTATCATTTCACCCCCAAAAGGGTCTAAACAAGGTTGAGAATGCTCTCCAGAGGTCAAGACTACCAACACAAGAAAACATGGTTTTCTCTCATGTCTGGCCGCACATGTAGATGGTCCAACCGAGCGTGAGAAAGTTCGAGCTGCTCGAGTGCACAGAGCTATTTGGTCCAGGCTTGGTTCATGGGCCGCTCGTTCGGAGCCCGTGGCCACACGGGTAGTTTGGGCACACCTAGGCAGTCCGAAAAGGGCACAAAAATGTAAACTTCCCAAACTTATTTCCAATCCCAAATTCATGCAAAACCAACCCAAAAACATGATATACTAGCATGATACAAGTGTAATTTCACTTCAAACATGTCAATCTTGCCTCAACTTTAGATTCATGGTCTCATCTCTTTCTCACATTCATAAATTACATAATCAAGATCAATATACATACAAACATGGTGAATCTTCCAACAAACCTTGGCTGTATGAACCATCTAGGGTTTATTTCATGGATCAATCACAAGAATGAACTCAAATCAAACAAGGATGAGCAGATTAGGGTTCAATCTCATACATTTAGCTCTAGCCATTACATAACTCAAACCCTAGCTGAAAATTCCCAATTTCTTCTTAATTCCATGACAAAGATGAGACATATACAAAGATTTCAAGTAGATTATCATACCTTAGTTCAAATCTAGGGTTTGCCCCTTGAATCTCTTCCAAATCCCTAGCTTTCTTCTCCATTTTTGTCTTACTCACTCTCTAGAGCTCTCAACAAGAATGAAGAACACAAGGCTAAACACACATATATGACTTAAATCATAAATCTTAATTTAATTATTACGAATCGTAATTTTTCAAAATTTCACCATAAGCTCTATAAAATCATGCTAATCACAGATATGAAGTCAGTTTTTGTTTATCGCATCTATAAGGCTTTCAATTTCAGTTCAAAGTTGTAATTGTAATAGATATTCCCACGTTCAACAAATATTATTTCAAATTCACATAATTTAAACTTGAAAATCTATATTAAACACATAATCACATGTATAATTAAGTAGAGTACGGGTTAGGTTATCATAGTCTTTCTCCTTTTAGGAAGTTTGGTCCTCCAAACTTGTTTACCTCAAGTCGAAAACAATTTTGGATATCATTGTCTCATTTCTTCTTTCCATTCCCAAATGGCTTCGTTTCTACGATGTTCCCTCCATTCGACTTTTACCGTTGGGATAGTCTTGTTTCTTAGTTACTTGAGTTGTCAATCAAGGATTTGGATAGGTTTCTCCTCATAAACCATATCGTCATCTAGCACAATTTGATGATAGTCAATAATATGAGAAGGGTCCGAAGGTAACCTCGCAACATTGATATGTGGAACACATTGTGCACTTGCTCCATGCCCATTGATAAAGCAATCCAATAGGCAACTGGAACCAATCTTTCTAAAATCTGGAATGGCCCTATGTATCGGGCTAACAATTTCCCTTTCTTCCCAAACCTTGTGTGCCCTTTCATTGGGGTGACTTTGACAAAAACTTGATCCTAAACTTCAAATTCTAAGTCTCTCCTTCTTTGGTTCGCGTAGCTCTTTTGTCAGCTTTGAGCAGTTTTCAATCTCTGTTGGATAATCTGAATCTTTTCCGTAGTAACTTGCACAATTTCGGGCCCAATCAACGTTCTATCCCCAACTTCGGTCTAACAAACTAGAGTTTGACATTTTCTCCAATACAAAGCTTCATATGGTGCCATTTCGATACTGGAGTGGAAACTATTGTTATACGCAAATTCTGCCAAAGGTAAATGAGTTTCCCAACTTTCATGGAAATCCAAAGCACATATCCGGAGCATGTGTTCCAACGTTTATATAATTCTTTCTGATTGTCCATCAGTTTGTGGATGAAATGCGGTACTGAACCTCAATTCCATCCCCAATGCTTTCTGTAAACTTTGCCAAAATCTTGACACAAACTTAGATTCTCTATCTAACACAATGGAAACCAAAATACTGTGCAATCGAATAATCTTCGCAATGTACACAGTAGCAAGTCTATCAGCATTATAAATAGTCTTCACAAGCAAAAAGTGAGCAAACATAGTCAATCTATCCACCACAGCCCATATAATATCCATACCTCAGGGTGTTCGGGGGAAGCTTACAATAAATCCATAGTTATGTGCTCTTATTTCCATTCCGGAATAGGAAGATGATGAAGTAACCCCGCTGGTCTTTGGTATTCCGCTTTTACTTGTTGACATTGAAGGCATCTTGAAATGAACTTCGCAATTTCTCTTTTCATATTGGGCCACCAAAAAGCTTTCTTGAGACCTTGGTACATTTTGGTATTTCTGGGATGCATAGCAAATCTGGACTTGTGAGCTTTCTTCCAAGACTCTTCCTTTAATTTCAGGGACATTAAAAACACACAATCTTCCCTTTAATTTCAACACTTGACCTTCCAAAGAAAATCCAGGTCTTGGCTTTGTTTCCATATCACCATGTACTTTCTTAAGAAATTCATCCTCCAATTGCCTCTGTTTAGTTTCCTCAATAATAGTCGGTTGTGCTGCCATTGCGACTAACATTCCATCTCATTCATGGAGCACAATTTCCACTTCCATTCTTTCCAAGTCAAGTAATATTTTATTCCACTCCGTAAGCAAACATGCTAAATTTTCCACTGACTTTCTACTAAGAGCATCCGCTACTGTGTTGGCTTTGCCGGGATGGTAATGAATCTGCAAGTCATAATCTTTGATGAGTTCTAATCATTGTCTTTGCCGCATATTACTCTCCTTTTGAGTAAAGAAATATTTGAGGCTCTTGTAGTCGGTGTAGACTTCACATGTTGCTCCATAGAGATAATGTTACCATATTTTCAATGCAAACTCCACTGCAGCTAATTCCAATCATGTGTAGGGTAATTCTTCTCATGTGGCTTCAATTGTTGAGATGCATATGCAATCACTCTCTTAATCTGCATAAGTACACACTCCAATCCCTTATGAGAAGCATCACTATAAATAACAAACCCTTCTGTACCTAACGGTAAAGCAAGGACCAGTGCTGTTGTGAGCCTTGCCTTTAATTCTTGAAAGGTGGACCCCCTCTGTTCTGTCCACTCTAATGGAACACCTTTTTGAGTCAACTGCGTAAGCGGCACCGCAATCTTGGAGAAATCTTTAACAAATCTTCGGTAGTAACCCTCTAAAACCATAAAACTACGTGCTTCTATAACGTTAGTAGGGGTAGGCAAATTCACAATAGCCTCTATCTTCTGCGGGTCAACAGACACACCATTCTTGTTAATCACATGCCCCAAAAACACAACTTCTATCATGACCCGGAGCCGTCCCCAAGGGTTAAGGACATAACCGGCTAGTAATCATGAAATCACCTATGGCCTCAAACCATTTCAGACTTAACTCATCAGAGTAACGGGGCCAAACGGAAGCAAAATTTAAAACTTTGTCCATAGAGCTGTGCTTACATGGCACATCATAACAAACCATACATAGACATATTAATAACTCACAACAGAAAACACAGCAACATAAAGTTCTGTACAAACAGGATCATTTAAGTCTCAGTCAACCCATGAAACTATGTACAACAGATTCAAAGTCTTTGCTAACATGACAAAATATAAATACATAACAAAAGGGCGAAGACGAGTCTCGTGCGTGAGACGCAAGGGCTAACTCTTCAAAACCTTGGTTGTTCCACACAAACTTCACTGAGGCTGGGTCTGGACCTCTCTTGGCTCACCTACAAACACATGAATGAGCGTGAACGAAAGCCCAATGAATAATATCAATTAAAGAAGATGCATTGGAACAATATACATTGGACGACCTTAGGCCCAATTCATATTTCTATCTAGTATATAAATAGATATGGATCAAGTAACTTCGGTTCCAAACATTTTGGACGGCCTCGGGCCCAATCTATTCATGTCAAACTGGCCTTTGGCCCACTTGTCTTTCATTCATGTCAGACTGGCCTCTGGCCCATTTGTCTTTCATTCATGTCAGACTGGCCTCTGGCCTATTTGTCTTTCATTCATGTCAGACTGGCCTCTGGCCCATTCATACTTTCATTTAGATCATACTGGCCTCTGGCCCATTCATTCTATCATTCAAATCATACTGGCCTCTGGCCCATTTATTCATTTATGTCAGACTGGCCTTCGGCCCATTCATTCATTCCTTCATGTCAAACTGGCCTTTGGCCCATTCATACTTTCATGTCAAACTGGCCTTTGGCCCATTCATACTTTCATGTCAAACTGGCCTTTGGCCCATTCATACTTTCATGTCAAACTGGCCTTTGGCCCATTCATACTTTCATGTCAAACTGGCCTTTGGCCCATTCATACTTTCATGTCAAACTGGCCTTTGGCCCATTCATACTTTCATGTCAAACTGGCCTTTGGCCCATTCATACTTTCATGTCAAACTGGCCTTTGGCCCATTCATACTTTCATGTCAAACTGGCCTTTGGCCCATTCATACTTTCATGTCAAACTGGCCTTTGGCCCATTCATACTTTCATGTCAAACTGGCCTTTGGCCCATTCATACTTTCATGTCAAACTGGCCTTTGGCCCATTCATACTTTCATGTCAAACTGGCCTTTGGCCCATTCATACTTTCATGTCAAACTGGCCTTTGGCCCATTCATACTTTCATGTCAAACTGGCCTTTGGCCCATTCATACTTTCATGTCAAACTGGCCTTTGGCCCATTCATACTTTCATGTCAAACTGGCCTTTGGCCCATTCATACTTTCATGTCAAACTGGCCTTTGGCCCATTCATACTTTCATGTCAAACTGGCCTTTGGCCCATTCATACTTTCATGTCAAACTGGCCTTTGGCCCATTCATACTTTCATGTCAAACTGGCCTTTGGCCCATTCATACTTTCATGTCAAACTGGCCTTTGGCCCATTCATACTTTCATGTCAAACTGGCCTTTGGCCCATTCATACTTTCATGTCAAACTGGCCTTTGGCCCATTCATACTTTCATGTCAAACTGGCCTTTGGCCCATTCATACTTTCATGTCAAACTGGCCTTCGGCCCATCCGTAGGGTAATTCTTCTCATGTGGCTTCAATTGTTGAGATGTATACGTAATCACTCTCTTAATCTGCATAAGTACACACCCCAATCCCATATAAATAACAAACCATTATGTACCTAACGGTAAAGCAAGGACCAGTGCTGTTGTGAGCCTTGCCTTCAATTCTTGAAAGGTGGACCCCCTCTGTTCTGTCCACTCTAATGGAACACCCTTTTGAGTGAACTGGGTAAGTGGCACCGCAATCTTGGAGAAATCTTTAACAAATCTTCGGTAGTAACCTGCTAAAACCATAAAACTGTGTGCTTCTGTAACGTTAGTAGGGGTAGGCAAATTCACAATAGCCTCTATCTTCTGCTGGTCAACAGACACACCATCCTTGTTAATCACATGCCCCAAAAACACAACTTCTGTCATGACCCGGACCCACCCCCAAGGGTTAAGGACATAACCGGCTAGTAATCATGAGATCACCTATGGCCTCAAACCATTTCAGACTTAACTCATCAGAGTAAAGGGGGCAAACGGAAGCAAAATTTAAAACTTTGTCCATAGAGCTGTGCTTACATGGCACATCTGATAAAGCAATCCAATAGGCAACTGGAACCAATCTTTCTAAAATCTGGAATGGCCCTATGTATCGGGCTAACAATTTCCCTTTCTTCCCAAACCTTGTGTGCCCTTTCATTGGGGTGACTTTGACAAAAACTTGATCCTAAACTTCAAATTCTAAGTCTCTCCTTCTTTGGTTCGCGTAGCTCTTTTGTCAACTTTGAGCAGTTTTCAATCTCTGTTGGATAATCTGAATCTTTTCTGTAGTAACTTGCACAATTTCGAGCCCAATCAACGTTCTATCCCCAACTTCGGTCTAACAAACTAGAGTTTGACATTTTCTCCAATACAAAGCTTCATATGGTGCCATTTCGATACTGGAGTGGAAACTATTGTTATACGCAAATTCTGCCAAAGGTAAATGAGTTTCCCAACTTTCATGGAAATCCAAAGCACATATCCGGAGCATGTGTTCCAACGTTTATATAATTCTTTCTGATTGTCCATCAGTTTGTAGATGAAATGCGGTACTGAACCTCAATTCCATCCCCAATGCTTTCTGTAAACTTTGCCAAAATCTTGACACAAACTTAGATTCTCTATCTAACACAATGGAAAGCAGAATACCGTGCAATCGAATAATCTTCGCAATGTACACAATAGCAAGTCTATCAACATTATAAACAGTCTTCACAGGCAAAAAGTGAGCAAACGTAGTCAATCTATCCACTATAGCCCATATAATATCCATACCTCAGGGTGTTCGGGGTAAGCTTACAATAAATCCATAGTTATGTGCTCTTATTTCCATTCCGAAATAGGGAGAGGATGAAGTAACCCCGCTGGCCTTTAGTGTTCCGCTTTTACTTGCTGACATTGAAGGCATCTTGAAATGAACTTCGCAATTTCTCTTTTCATATTGGGCCACCAAAAAGCTTTCTTGAGATCATGGTACATTTTGGTATTTCTAGGATGCATAGCAAATCTGGACTTGTGAGCTTCTTCCAAGACTCTTCCTTTAATTTCGGGAACATTAAAAACACACAATCTTCCCTTTAATTTCAACACTTGAGCTTCCAAAGAAAATCCAGGTCTTGGCTTTGTTTCCATATCATCATGTACTTTCTTGAGAAATTCATCCTCCAATTGCCTCTGTTTAGTTTCCTCAATAATAGTCGGTTGTGCTGCCATTGCGACTAACATTCCATCTCATTCATGGAGCACAATTTCCACTTCCATTCTTTCCAAGTCAAGTAATATTTTATTCCACTCCGTAAGCAAACATGCTAAATTTTCCACTGACTTTCTACTAAGAGCATCCGCTACTGTGTTGGCTTTGCCGGGATGGTAATGAATTTGCAAGTCATAATCTTTGATGAGTTCTAATCACCATCTTTGCCGCATATTACTCTCCTTTTGAGTAAAGAAATATTTGAGGCTCTTGTAGTCGGTGTAGACTTCACATGTTGCTCCATAGAGATAATGTTACCATATTTTCAATGCAAACTCCACTGCAGCTGATTCCAAATCATGTGTAGGGTAATTCTTCTCATGTGGCTTCAATTGTTGAGATGTATACGTAATCACTCTCTTAATCTGCATAAGTACACACCCCAATCCCATATAAATAACAAACCATTATGTACCTAACGGTAAAGCAAGGACCAGTGCTGTTGTGAGCCTTGCCTTCAATTCTTGAAAGGTGGACCCCCTCTGTTCTGTCCACTCTAATGGAACACCCTTTTGAGTGAACTGGGTAAGTGGCACCGCAATCTTGGAGAAATCTTTAACAAATCTTCGGTAGTAACCTGCTAAAACCATAAAACTGTGTGCTTCTGTAACGTTAGTAGGGGTAGGCAAATTCACAATAGCCTCTATCTTCTGCTGGTCAACAGACACACCATCCTTGTTAATCACATGCCCCAAAAACACAACTTCTGTCATGACCCGGACCCACCCCCAAGGGTTAAGGACATAACCGGCTAGTAATCATGAGATCACCTATGGCCTCAAACCATTTCAGACTTAACTCATCAGAGTAAAGGGGGCAAACGGAAGCAAAATTTAAAACTTTGTCCATAGAGCTGTGATTACATGGCACATCATAACAAACCATACATAGACATATTAATAACTCACAACAGAAAACACAGCAACATAAAGTTCTGTACAAACAGGATCATTTAAGTCTAAGTCAACCCAGGAAACTATGTACAACAGATTCAAAGTCTTCGCCAACATGACAAAATATAAATACATAACAAAAGGGTGAAGACGAGTCTCGTGCGTGAGACGCAAGGGCTGACTTTTTAAAACCTTGGTTGTTCCACACAAACTTCACTGAGGCTGGGTTTGGACCTCTTTTGGCTCACCTACAAACACATGAATGAGTGTGAGCGAAAGCCCAGTGAATAATATCAATTAAAGAAGATGCATTGGAACAATATACATCGGACAGCCTTAGGCCCAATTCATATTTCTATCTAGTATATAAATAGATATGGATCAAGTAACTTCGGTTCCAAACATTTCGGACGGCCTCGGGCCCAATCCATTCATGTCAAACTGGCCTTTGGCCCACTTGTCTTTCATTCATGTTAGACTGGCCTCTGGCCCATTTGTCTTTCATTCATGTCAGACTGGCCTCTGGCCCATTCATACTTTCATTCAGATCATGCTGGCCTCTGGTCCATTCATTCTATCATTCAAATCATACTGGCCTCTGGCCCATTTATTCATTTATGTCAGACTGGCCTTCGGCCCATTCATTCATTCTTTCATGTCAAACTGGCCTTTGGCCCATTCATTTGGCATAGCAAACATTGTCCACCAATCAAATCAACAAACTTATAAACTTACATAGAAGTAAGCAATTGGACAACAATATATTTCAGATATCTTTGTCAAGATATTACTCACAGTGATCGGCTGGATGATTTGCCCTAGAGCTCAACCCTACACATTCCATGAAGACAAAGGGTCACAAACAATTCAATCCGTTCTTTAATTCACATGTTCCTCTTAAGGCTTTATTAATGCATGCCTAAGAGTACTTAGAAGTGAAAGAGAACGGAAAACGAAACAAAGGATGCATTTTCAAAATTTCAGAAACAGGGGTCCCCGCTCGAGCGGACCCTTGAGGCCTGCAAAAGTACTGGTTATGTCATATTTACGCTCGATCCCGAATTCTGGCGCTCGAGCGGAAGACCTCACTACATGGCTCCCCGCTCGAGTGTGAAATTCCCGCGCTTGAGCGGACGTCCATGTCTGCAAAAATGCTGGGAGCCCGTTTTTCCCGCTCGATCGGCGGTTCCCCCGCTCGAGTGTACATCAAAAATTTTGGGTTTTCCAGGATGGTTCTTGAGCTCAAATTCAACATTCCAACCAACATTTCTTGCATATAATGGCTCAAACTTCATATAAACATGTACTAACATGGTACAAACATCAAATTACAACATTATGAAGCTCAATTCCATGAATCAAACACATGCATGTTCCAAATTGACTCAAACTCATCACCAACACACTAATTTCAAACATTCAAAGCTCACACTTTCATGATTCGCTTATGCATGTGGGAGATACTCATTATCCTCAACTTAATTGGTGAAGAGATGATCAAATACAGGGACCTCAATCAAAAATCAAAATGGATTACATACTCTATGCCCAAACATGAAAATTCATAGCAATTTCCTACATGCATACATACATTGACCTTCAATTCAACATGATCAACTCAATTTCATTTCAATTCTCACTCTTGATTACCCAACTAGCTTGAATACACAATTTACAAACTAAAATCCATGAGTCAATGGTTGATTACTCACCTAGGAGCCTTAATTCTCACAATTTATGGTAAATTCTTGAGTGTGCCTTCAAGACCACCAAGCTTCTTGAACAAAATTGCACAATTCTCCTCTCTCTCTCTCTATAGCCTGCCTTCTCACCCTCAGAAATGTATAACTCAGATTTTGAGCTCAAAAGAAACAAATGAGCGTGTATATGGCCCTTTAAATAAAATCCCACTAACCAAAATTATAAATATTAAATAATTAGGCACTATATCCTTAATTTTATCTAATTAATTTGATCCGAATCAATTTTGAATTAAATTTCACCGTAGGCTCTAAAGTTTATGCCAATCACAATGGCGCAATCAATTTCGAGTTTCGTAGCCGATAAGGCCTCCAATTTAAATTCCAAAGCAGATAATCAAACAGGTATTCCTACGGCGAACAGATAGAAACTCATAACCACATATTTTCACATAATGGCACACAAAATCATATCAAACACATAATCACATTCATAATAAGGACCAATTAGCATAATAAGGAACAGGGTTATCACAACTTCATTCAACCAAAATTCATATTTCTTCAATTTAGCATAGAACTTCTTGTCTCTAAGTGTTTGAAGAATTAATCTCAAGTGCTTTTCATGTTCCTCCCTACTCTTCGAAGAAATAAGAATATCATCAATGAATACTACCACAAAACTCATCCAAATACGGTTTGAAAATCCAATTCATTAAATCCATAAAAGTTGCTGGTGCATTTGTAACCCCAAATGGCAGGACTAAATATTCATAATGATCGTATCTAGTTTAGAAGGTGGTCTTCTCAACATCCTCTACTTTGACTTTCAATTGATGGTACCTAGATCTCAAGTCAATTTTAGAAAACGCTTTTGCCCCTTGTAATTGGTCAAACAAATCATCAATCCATGGTAGAGGATATCTATTCTTCGCCATTACCTTATTAAGTTCCCAATAATCAATACATAACTAGAGTGTCCCACCTTTTTTTTTTCACAAACAAAACTAGTGCGCCCCATGGCGATGTAGTCGGTCGGATGAACCCCTTGTCAAGCAATTCTTGTTACTGTATTTTCAATTCCTTCATTTCTGCTGGAGACATTTTGTACAGAGTTTTTGAAATCGGTTGAGTACTCGGCACAATATCAATAACAAATTTAATCTCACGGTTCATTAAGTCTCCTAGCAATTCCTCAAGAAATACATCCAGAAACTCACTAACAATTGGGATATTTTCAACACTCGCATCGGTTGTCTCTACATACAAAATGCTACACAAATAACCCTTAAAACCCTTCTAAAGTAGCTTGCAAGCTTTCATAGCTGATATCAAATAGGGTGGAGGGACTACCCCATGTCCCACAAAAGTAAACTAATCTTGTCTTGACATAAAATCGATGGTTGCATGATACTTAGTTAACCAATCGATTCCCAAAATTAAATCAAAGTGTACCATATCTAGAGGCGTGAAATTAGAACATATTAGGATATCCCCAAGAAAAAGCTCACACACAGGATACATAGAAGTACATAACATATAGTTCCTAAGTGGCAAGGACACACATAATTCAACAGTTCCATAGTTCTATTCAAATGAGAAACAAATGTTTTTGAAACAAAGGAATGAGTGGAACTCGAATCAAGTAACACATGAGTAGGTTGACCATTGACAGAGAGTGTACCTGAAACCACAACATCTTAATTCCAGACATCACCTAGAACAAGAGCAAAGACTCTCCTTTGCCTAACATTGTCTCTAGAAGTAGTTGGTCTTGTTGGGGTCGTTGTTATAGAAGTGGAACTGATTGAACTAGCAATTGGCTTATTCCCTTTTTGTCACCCAAACATAGGGCAATCTCTCATCATATGTCCCGTCTTCCCACACTTGAAGCAAACTCCTGTTGCTTGATAGCAAACCCCTCGATGCTTCTTTGCACACTCTAGGCAAGTTGGTGCTGAATCACTGGTAGAACCTGAAGTGCTAGAAGGTTCCAAATTTTGCTTCTTGTTTTGTGAGGACACCAAAGTGCTGGAAGATTTCCCACACTTTCCTATCTCGATGCACTATGGGAAGTACTTCTCGTAGAAGATTTCTAAAAATTGAGCCCAATCTATCCCTTGATGTTCATCTCGAACAAGCATGCACCAACGATGTGCTTCATCCTCGAGTGTAAAAGCAGCAAGCAAGACTTTTTGTGCCTTGTGCATGGGAAGACTTCAAACAGTTTTTCTATACCAAGCACCCAAGCCTTCACCTTTAGTGGATCAATTCCTCATTTGAACGATGGAGGTTTCATCATTTTAAATTCTTTTGTGAGAGTAATAGTTCGGTCGTCTGCTTGGTGGTCTTGCACTACAGTGGTGGCACAGGCATTGGTGGCGGTGGTGGTTGCTACTACTGTTGTTGTTGTTGCAAAAGCCACTTCCATGTCCGTAATCATTGCCTCCATTCTATCAAGTCGTAAGGAGGTTGAATCCTCCCCATCTTCTGCCCTTGTTCTCATCATGATCTAGAGGAACATACACTATAACTTTCACAAATAATATGTACATAAGTCATATTTGCAAATGCACATTTTCATGTCATACCTGATTATGAATGCATTATGGATGCAACTTAAACCTTTTTCTAGACTTGTTATTGCTCACATGGACTCGTGTGTGGGATATTAACTCGTGCTCTGATACCACTCTGTCATAACTCGAACCTGTCCCTAAAAGTTTGGGTCATAACTGGCCAGTAATCACTTGATTACTTTTGGCCTCAAACAAACATACATCGTAATTATAGTAGAAGGGCCATAAGCAGAAGTGTACAACAAATGAAGAAGTCCATTGAGTTGTGCCAATGTGAGCAAAACATAACACAATCACATCATTTACATGCCCATGCAAAAATATAAGTATCAAAGGAAATTTTATACGTGCCGATTACATATCCCAAGACCAAATTAGCAAAAACAAAAATAAATTCATAGCATAAAGGGAGTTAAAGACAAAACCCCATCTCGTAGGCATAACTTGACAGGTTCACAAAAATAGCTCCTGAAGCTGACTCTAATGGTCGACTCCATGCAGCAGATCACCTACATTGCTTGCATAATATTGGATGAGTGAA